ACCTTGAATTAGTATCAATAAAAATTGGCGTTTTTTCTGGGCCAGTGGGGGAATGTTGATTATTATTCTTTTCTAGTCTTTTTCATAATATTTTTATATAAATATAACAAAGAACAGGAAATTTCCCGCGAGTTTTTCCACTTGCTACCCCGCCTAGTTGTTCCAACTTTTATATTACGTACTCAATGGGTTACACTTAAGTTAGCACTTAGCAGACCCGTATCCAAAGGGTAACGCGGTGTTGGGACATTTACAAAGACTCCAGATGTGAACATGAGACAAAAGACTCCAGATGTGAACATGAGGATGACGTTGATGGAATGGTCATTAAAATATATTTGTTAAAACAAGATCAGAGCTAGGATCGGTAAGTAGATGAATCCTGCAGCTATGATGTCTCCTCCGATAACTGAATCAGGTGATTGAGACAATACATTGTACATATATATGAAGGCTAGTTAACCGAACTGAAGTATTTAAACCGAAACAAATCCGATTATGATCCAATCAATTCCATTTTCTATTTGCCAAAAGAGAAAATGTCTTCAGACGTACGACTCGAGTTGATGATCACTTAAGGAACAATATGAATATGAATAAGAGCCAAAAAAAAAAAAAGGGAGATATTAATCAATGGAAGAAAGGAAGAGGAAGTACAAATGTATGGAATAACTGTTACAAATGATAACTTGGTAAGCATCATACTAAATTAATCTTATAAAAACAAACTTCTGAAAATATATATTATCATTCAATTGTATCATACTAATTTGAATGGTTACTGATCATGATCAGCGAGTTTTTAGAGAGAAAGAAGAACGTTCTTGTATTGTAATTCAAGGATTTGTGCACTTAGATGTATGAGGTTGCAGAGAGATCTCTGATTCAACGAGGATTTAACTCGCTGATTGATAACTTGTTCAATGAAAGAACACCAGCTTCACCTTTGGCTTGTATCATTGCATCGGTTCTATGCAGTTCGGTTGGAGGATGTGTGGTGAAACCAGCAGTTGTAGGTAAAGGAATTGATATAGTGTCACTACCAAGCCATTGAATAACCAAACCCATGGTTGGTCTCTTTGCAACATTGTCTTGAACGCACAACAAACCAATGTGGATGAATCTCAAGATTTCGTTTGTTGGGCTCCTACTCAAGACAGGATCGATGATACTCGCAGCCTCGCCCGCAATCCAAAAGTTCCATGCCTATACATTATCATCATGACTTAACAATCAATAAAATTTTGACACTCATTTGTGTGTTCAAGTAAAAAAAAAAAAAGGAGTGATAATTATATGCTTACATGTGCAGGGAGCCCCAAGGATGCGAAGTAGTTCTTGTTAGTTTGACCGGTTATCATCTCCAGAAGCACAACCCCGAAACTGTAAACGTCTGTTTTGACTGAAAATCTTCCGCTCTTAACGTATTCAGGAGCCATATAGCCACTGCAATCATACAATTGTAACATGACAAGTGATCCTAATCCAACAGCATCTGATATAAATTTACATAAGTGATGATCCTAATATGGCGAATCTCTAAAATTTCTATTTAAAATATAACATACCATCTCTGTCTTGTATACAGTATTTTCTTAACAACACAGAGCATCCAGAGTATGTCTAGAACTAGAGCATCCATGTCTAAAGCAGAGCATACTTACAGTGTTCCAACGCGTCTCCTTGTCACTCCTCGAGTCTGGTCCATGTTAAATAACCTAGCCATCCCAAAGTCTGAAACTTTAGGGTTCATATCAGCATCTAAAAGAATATTGCTCGCCTTCAAGTCTCGGTGAATAATCCTCAGCTGAGAATCTTCGTGTAGATAAAGAAGACCTCGCGCAACGCCTTCTATAATTCTGTACCTCACATTCCACGTTAGTAGCAAACGCTTCTCATCATCTGCAGATTTCAGAAGAAGCATCAATACGAAAACATTCTAGATCCAAAAATGCAGCATCTCAGGAAAAGGCTCACCAAATATGAAGTGATCAAGACTTGAATTAGGGACATGCTCGTAGACAAGAATATCTTCATCTCCTTCACTACAAAACCCTAGAAGCTTAACTAGATTCTTATGTTGGAGTCTTGTCAAGAGTAAGACCTCATTCCTGAACTCCGTATATCCTTGCCCTGAACCTCTTGTTAATCTCTTAACCGCTATTTCTTGCCCGCTCGGTAACATCCCCTGAAAAACCGATTCTCACACTATAAGATCTTTGACTCACCTAACGGTTTTTATAGGACTTATACAAGTTTCTTTACCTTGTAGACAGATCCAAATCCACCTTGGCCAATTTTATTTTCAGGGGAGAAGTCACCAGTTGCGATTAGGATCATGCTAAGATCGAACCGTAGCATATGTTGACCATCGGAATGACATGCGTCCTGCTCTGTACAGACTAACCAAACGAAACCTATAAGAAAGTATGCATAGAAAAAAGTTTATTGAAAAGCATGAGAACATACCACTGATTTCGTTTTTCGATTTTCTTATCCGACCATAAGCTCTGATCAGACCAATAAGCACGATTAAATTAATGACGGTAGGAACCACAACTATCGCGATAATTCTTCCTCCTGCAACATTAGTTCTTTTTAATATATGCGAACCTTCGAGAATTGTATAGTTGACAATGAATATCAAACTCATTTGTTTTCAAACCTTTCAAGCTTGTAACAGAGATCCCTCGTGCTTGAGGGATCAAAGCTCGAGGAGGGGCAGGAACTCTTGTTACATTAGCGAAAGCGCCGTAAAATGCATAGAGATCCCACCGGAAAACACAGTTCGGTCGACCAACCATGCCTCCTAGTTTTCCCCAATTAATATCTCTATAATACTTGACGCATTCTTCCAAACAGCTCCTGCACTCGCCTGAAGTTATGTCCGGTGTGCATTGCATCATCATATAAACATTTGGAAACTCCACAAATTCTGCGTACACAACGCCATAGTACTTGAGAACCGATGCATTAGTGGCAACGGTTGCAGCCTCAAGTGTCCGGTTAACCATTGTTTCCCATTCTGGGCGGAAAAGGGTCATGTTATTGGTGAATGAGTCGATACCAATGGGACTCGGGTCATTCGTAGCTGGTCCAAGCTCGAGTTTCTGAAAAGTTGAATGATTCGTGGTACGTACAAAACAAGATACACGGTCTGCATCGTCATTGTCCCAATCGAAGGATTCCACGCGATCAGAACAACTTGTTTTTATCAGTCGAATGGCTTTTTCCACACAGTTGATACAAGGTTGCCGCTCGTAGTCTCTTCTGCAGAAGGCAAGAGCGTGAACGCTATCAAGTGAAGCGTTGTAGAATCCACCGTTGGAGATGACATTAGAAGCAAGAGAGGAGAAGAGAGAGTCCCGGTTTTCGCGGTAGCTACTGTTGGCGAGGAAGGAGTTTCCTACGCAGAGGAAGCCGGCTTTAACTCCGTTGAGAGTTTGAAGAAGAAGGTAAAAAGAGAGGAAAATTGTAGCAGAGTTTTTCATTATAATTGTTAAGAAATGGAGAGTACGGGTATGTTAACTTAATTGTTATATTTGTTGTTAAGAAAAAGGAAAGGTGAATGAGAGAATTCGTTTTGGTTGAATATTCATCTACTAATTGGTCTCCGCTCACTTCCCCTACAGAATGAATGTAAGTCACATAACTTAATGACCATCAAGGTCATCCCCATGTTCGTTTCACATATAGAGTCTTCGTCAATGTACCCTTTGATACGGCTGTATCAATTTTGTTTTTTTGGTTTAGACCATTTCCAAGTTATTTCTCTATTTCTTTTTTTTTTAAATGGAAATTTATATAAAAAATCAATAATAATTCACAAAAAACTACAATTGGCTGAATATTTAGTCACAAGATCAATGGTCTTATAAAAACCATATGAAAAAAAAGAATTTATGATTAACATATAATTTCTTATATGATTAACAAATGCACTTACCTCTTTCTCTTTCTTGAAATCCTCCTATATTTTATATAGAAGGCCCTCAGAACACTACTTAACTTTGGCGCCGTGAAGCAAACGTGGAGTGTTGGGTTTGAATCTCACACATGTTGAACAAAACTACCTTTCTCAACCACTAGACTACACTAAATTTTTAGAAATATAGGGGCCCCAATAAATTTATATTCATTTGGGACTTGAGATAAAAGCCTTTTTGAATACATGGTAGGCACGGCTTTGCTTTTTCCTCGTCTTTTGCCAACTCGGGCAACCTCGCTTGAGCAATAGGTAGGCCCTCCCGTGATCCGGACTAGAAGGGTGTTCCGTCTATTGTGCCACACAACTTGTCCTTCTGCAATGAATCTGATCGGCCATTCTTCTCCTACAAATATAAGTACTTCTGAGTAAGAAAGAGTTTTCTATAACCATATACTGTATCTTTCTCAGATTCAAAATAATGCTTAAAAGTTACATTCAAAGAAATAATGCTTAAAGTTTCATCTAAGGGATC